GTATAACTCCCCTACGCGCTCTCGTAGCCGATCTATTTCATCCCCTTGTATCTCCACCGTCCTTTCCAGGTCCGACTTCCTCTTTACGATGCTGACCATATCTTTGACTGCTTCCACGGGCTCCATTATATACAATGGATCCGAACCATRTTCCTTGTAATGCTCTCATAGTAGGACCTACCGGCTGCGGAAAGGCTCACTGGTTGTCTTTTACACACCCAGTAAAAGCGATCTGGAAACCATTTTAAGCGACTATGGCGGTGAGATAAGCAAGGAAAAGCTGCATGAATACATGCGGCATCTAAAAACGCACCAACATTCCAAGATGATCTTCTCTTTGAGGTTCCGTATCAAGTCGGAATCTATGATTCCTAATGTATATGGAGATTGAGCAGCTCATAGATGAAGTCCCTATGCAAATAGATGAAAGTAACCTTAAGGAACAACTTAACGTCCTTGTGTCATCTGGGAAGTGCAAAGAAATGATAGGCAAGGAACTTACCCATGAGCAAGTCAATAAGTTGTCAGAAGAGGAAGTTAAGAAGTTCCATAAGAGGTATGAGGCTGGCCTTGCAAGTAAGACTACCGACGCCGTGGCAGACTCGGCAATTAAGTTGGCAACTAAATTGCTCGGACTTGCACTGCCCATAGACGATGTGGAGCAACTACAGAAGGACATAAGAGGTGATTATGTCATATCCCAAGAACTTAAGATAACCTGCGGGTGGTTGTCTTTGAAGTGYGGTAAGTTAATGGCAGTCGCCTCTGCGGCACTCCACGTAGCTCAGCATGTCGACTTGAAGGAACTTACGATGTCTTGGAAGGACTTTAAGAAGGACAGAGAAGTCGAAAGGGTACTTACCCGGGCACTTACTGAAGTCGAGGGCAAGTCCCCCCAAAAACCTGGTCAAGTCACCACAAGTACTTAGTCAAGTCATCCACGGGACTTAGTCAAGTCATCCTAAGTACTTAGACAAGTCATCCTAAGTACTTAGGCAAGTCGTCCGTAAGTACTTAGGCAAGTCATTCCCAGGTCGTTGTCAAGTTACTTATCAAGTCATCAAGTCCCTTAATATAGGATGAGTGACACCGAACAGCAACCAGAAAAGGCCCCCGTAGAAGATACCAAAATTACCAAGCCCAAATCTCCGGGCAGGGTGGCTGCGGGTAAAAAACTCGTTGAAATGAACAGGAAGAATAAGGCCAAGAARGAAAGAAAAGAAGAAGAAAAGGAAGACTCATACGTCAATCCGGGGTATGTCATTGGCGCCTTAGGAGTCGCTTTGGCCGCAGGCAGTCTCTACTTTCAGTGGAAAGCCGCAAATAATAAAACTGCGGTGCAACATCATGTACCAGTGTCACCTGCATCCCCAAAAAGTAGAATACCCGAAATGGAATAACCTTCTCACTTTGCAATATCATGTCGTCCACATTGATGAAAACTGTTGAAGAAGCAGCTATCATTACTTCTATTCTCGCGGGTATTGGTTGGGTAGGTAAGAAGGCACTCAAGGAAGACCTAACCGAAGATCCAAGCAAAAGCCTGATGAGCTACGTCAAGATGACCGGCGTAGTAGCGGGCAGCATTGCCCTTAAGGACTATCTGCAGAAGGAAAATTACCTTCCTAACATATAAGCATGGTTAGCGTGGTTGCAGGTGGTGTTATCGCAGCTTTAGCATTTACTGGAGCTAATTATGGTGGTCAGTATTTGAATAGATTAGTCAGAGGCGATCATAGTGGCGCTGCTGAAAGAAAGAGACACGCCTTAGCCCTGGAAAAGTATCAAAGGGATGTGGCAGCTTGGAATGAAAAAAGACAAGCTTACAGGGATTGGTTGGACAAGAACTACGCGGACAAGATGCAGGCAGACAAGAACTTTGAAAATACGGACTACGCTGTTAAGCTTTATGCGCAAACACACCCAGAGTTTAGGCTAAAAAAGCCCCAGTTTAAGAATTACTACCAGCCTTCTAAGAAACAAAAAGATAGCGAGCTGGTCTTCGTTGGTATCGCAGGTCTGGCCGGAGGTGCCGCCATAGCGTATCTAATATAATGATCGTCTTTTTGGAAAGCGACAAAAATAACTTTACCACTTATTTGAATCCCCCCATCAAAGCCCATAAGGTTCGGCTCATAAGTTGCTCTTTGTACAATTCTTGGTATAATTTAATCAATGGCTATGTCGTTGTGAATGCCCAAAAGCCAAAGTTACCAGATTCCTATTACACCCCTATGACACTAGCTAAGGAACTAGCAAAGCATGGATATACTCTTGCCACAGGATTACCCCATGAAATGACATTCAAGTAAGATAGTGGGAGCGCCAATCTAAAGGGCAGTCCATTGGTAAAACTCCTGGGCCTTACTAGTGCCACGATAAATAGCGGCAGTACATATGATGTGAAATGGAAAGTTCCCGCTAACTACGAAGTCCGTTGCAACCTAGTAAGCTCATACTTCAATGAAGTAATCAGTAATCTAATGTGCAAGTTTCCACCCAAGGGCAATCCATTTGACCTGGTAGAATACGCTCCCATTTCTTTGAGCTATGACTTGCCTTGCGAATTGGTAGAAAGCATAAACATCACCATTAAAGTGGACGGAGAGACGGTGGACTTCAACGGGCGAAAGATCAATCTCGTCTTGGAATTCATATAATGCCCCGCGTAGAGAACAAACTCAAGAGGATTTACTATGGGCCTAAAGGCTATTGGAGAGGAACGTCAGCTATCAAGAAACTTGCAGCCGCGGCCAGGGTATCAGAAGAAACGGCTAAGAATTGGCTAAAAAAACAAACCCTCTGGCAGGTTTATCTTCCCGTGCCCAAGTACATTCCCAGGCCTAGCTTTACCGTAAATGCCCCCAATGAAGCTCATCAGGCGGATTTGCTTTTCTTACCGCACGACAAGGTGAAAAAAAAGACCTATAGATACGCTTTGACCGTAGTTGACATCGCAAGCAGATACAAGGACGCCGAACCCATAACCAGCAAGGATTCTGGGGAAGTCGCAGAAGCCCTAAGTAGGATTTATAAGCGCGTTTTGAAATGGCCTAAGCTGCTGCAAGTGGATGCGGGGACAGAGTTCATGGGCGTGGTTACCAAGACCCTGAAAGACCACAGCACTAAGATTAGGAGAGCCAAAGCTGAGTATCACAGGGATCAGAGCATCGTCGARAGATTCAATAAGACCCTGGCCGAGCGCCTCTTTGGATACCAGTATTGGAAAGAGCTGGAAGATCCCTCCAAGCGCAACAGGGAATGGACTCAGAGGCTCCCCCAGGTCATCGCGGCCTTGAACAACGAGGAGGCCAGGGCTACGGGAATGAAACCCAAGGATGCCATAAAAAAGAAACACGTGGAACACAAGTCCTACGTCAGAAGTTTAAGGGCGGTCTTCCCTTAGGAAAAAAGAATAGGCGATGTCGCGGTTTGATATCTCTATGGGCCGGGCAAATTAGAAGGAGGATCCAAAAGAGCTACGGATCCTAATTGGTCTTTGGAAACTTACCAGATCCAAAGTGTAATAGCTAAGAAGGGTCAGCCCATCTTGTATTATCTTCATGATGGTCCCGCGCGTGGGTTCGTCAAAGAAGAACTGCTTATTGTGTGATGTCCGAATGCCATAGTATGGATACCATCATCACACATCCACCTCTTGCCGTCAAATGCCGATAGGGACACCTTCTCCTGGGTGATGTTATGTATCTGATGACCATAGCTGCGCAGGCTATTCATCTTATGTCTTTGCTCCTTCCGGGTCTTTAAGACCTTTAATTAAAGATCGTGGGTTATGTCCTTCTTGACTACGTACTTTTTTACACCTTTGGCTTTCTTATCTACCCCGTCAAGCTTCAGTACGCTGTACATCTTTGGCTTTAGTCCCACGTATTCGACTATGGGCTTCCCCTTCATCTCGTCTTTCATCTTACCTATCACCTTCTTGTTCTTCGGGGAGTAAAGGAAGTGGTCTTTGGGGTATTCACTGGTGTCGTACTCGTCAATGTCCGCTACGCAGTCCTCGTAGACGTCTTCCGTAAGCACTTCTAGTATCAAAGAGTCCGTATCCGTGTACAGCAGCCTACACCTATCACCGTAATTTGGCTTTAGCTTGTAGTAGTAGAACTCGTACATGAGCAACTTGGACAGGTCTAACACCGTAAAGCCCGTGTATACGGGTTTGTTAAGGAACAGGTTTGCCTTCTTCATGTGAATTACGTAGAAGTTCAGCATTTCTACGTACCTGACRAAACCTGGCTGTGACACGTACGCCTCAGCTTCCTCTTTTGTGCTGGCTATCTTTATGCTGACCCTCTTACGGATGTTCTCCATGGTCTTTCCAAACACGCTGTTGTTCATCAGCTTAAAGAGGTTCTTCTCAAAGTCATTCTTAGCCTGCGTCCTCTTTTGCGTGTTAAAGTTGATGTAGCTGCGCATCCATGGCTCCTGCGTGAACTTCAGGACTCTGTGTATTTTGGTTATCCGCATACCGTGTCTAACGTAGAACTGCAGGTTGCGGTAATGCACCACGTACTTCTTTTTGTTCATTAAGTTCATGGTGAGCTTCCTGTATGGTTTGTAGCGGGGACACACCTCCTTCTGCAGCGGACTCAGCTGCTCAAAGGGTATCTCTATCGCTTCTGGTGCTAAGGGGAACTCGTTGTGTGAGTCATGCAGATGCGCGGGGTATTCCAAATCCACTTCCAGGATGTACCCCTTGTCGTCTTCCTTACCCACGCGCATGTAGAAGTCTTGCGACCTTACCTTGTCCCACTCGAAGTCGCGAACTGGTAAGTATTGCGACATCGCCCAACCATAAAGGTTATTAGCATCAAGGTAAAGTATGTATGACGTGGGCTCGTTGGGGTCGTACTTCACCGCGGGGTTGTTTGCCTTCGCGTAGCTTCTGCTAGGGCCGCAGACGCCACCGAGGATACCATCTTCCATAAATCGGTACATGTCGTACTCCGTAAGCAGGTCCAGCTGCGCATTCGTCTTCTTTAGCAAAGCGCTCCAGCTAAGCCCGGGAGCCGYGTAGAAATTCGCTGGGTCCAACCCATAGTACTCCAGCGCCATCTTTCTGAAGCTCTGAAGACGTCTGCTAATAGCACGACATCGGATCTCAGATAAATGTCATGGTAGTCCCCCATATTCTCACAGGAGTGCTTCTCCCACACGTCTAAGGCATGCTGGTATTCATCATCCTTTATGCCTGATTCAGTCAAAGTACTGTAGAATGCTTTCTTTGGAGGTAGCGGCTCCTTGAACTTCTCCCAGCTGCTCATGTACTCGTAGGGGTACACCCCCTTCCTTTCTGCTCCATATTGACTGGAGATGGGGAATTCCGTGTTGTACCTGACCAAATTAGCTAAGGAGTCTGCCATGAACTGCTGCGAATCTACAAACTTCAGCTTGCCTACGGGTACGGAAATGTACCGCTCTTTGTTTTTGGGGATGTATTTGACCTCCGACCCGTCCTTCCCCTGCAGCAGCAGGTGGCTGTCATAACCCCTAAGGTTATGGAAGAAGACAGGAATCTCCATCTCTGGATCTACGCGTGTGTTGCACCTCCAGTGGGCTGCTCCCCTGTATATACTCGTTACAGGGCAGTAATCTATCACCTTGTCCACGTAGAAATCCTCTACGAAGGCCTTGTGGCAGTGGAAGCAGTGGGTGGAGGGCTTATCTGGCTTTTCACCCTTCCTGGCGTACTTACCGCATTTAAAATGCGCTTCTCCTAGGTATTTCCCATCCCCGTCCCACGCCTTTTGAGCCTGCCTTCCAAACTGCAAGAGTGTTTGCTGGCAGACGTGACATCTCTTCGCCTTTGCAAAGGCATCCTGGTTCTCCTTGGTGAATACCATCTTCTTTCGGCGCTTTAGCTTCTCCCTGATGATCTCCTCCTCTTCGCGCAGGGCTTCTAGGAACTTCTTCGCTGCATCCTTACCGCGGTAGATCACAGGGGGGTCGGCGTTTCCGTCAGATCTGACAACTATGTACCCAAAGGAGCACACCTCGTGCAACCACAGCTTATCCGTGGCACCACTTCTGTGCTCTTCTTTGGTAATCAGCGCTTCGAAGTCCGCGTAAATCACGTAAGGCACCTGCATCTGCTTCTGATGATCTGAGTAGGATAGCTCCTTATCCACAGGCATTTGGATACTTTGCACCACCTCTTCGACTCCGCGACATATCTCACCATGCGCCTTTAGCGCCTTGGGGCTGGTAAACGACAACAAGCAGCAATCGCAGAAGTACTTCTTACCTTTGTGCTTCGTATGTCTGTAGAAGAGCCTGCTGACATGCTTCACCCAGGAGTAATGCCCACCATAGTAGAAGAGGTGTATGCGCTCTCCTTTGTTCTTTGACAGCACCAGCGGCACTATTGTTTGGTCCATAGCACCGTAAACGTTAATTGCTAGACCATTCTCCTGCTCGAATATCGGTATGTCTATCAACTGCATTGGGAACTCCACACCATCCCACTCTAAATCGTCCATTGGGTACTTGCTCGTTCTGCAGAGATCCTTGTCTGCTGGGTACAGCGCTGATCTAAATGCCCACATAAAGCATAGGTGATCGTTGTTCTTTACGTTGACTATGGCTTTCTTCCTTTCTATCCAAGCAGGCAGTGGCACGTAACTACCTCCTCGTATGGGCAAGTACCTGGCCATGCTGATCTCTAATCCCTCCACCTCCTCTACCACCCAACCTGATCCTTCCCGCGTGTAGTTTGAAAGTGACTCTGTGATTGCTTCCAATGCACTGCTAAGCGTTTGTCTTAGGTCGGTCGATTCTAATATTATCAGGGACTTTGATCTTAGCATTGCAGTTGTGGTCACGTCATCCTTCGTCAGGCTTACCTCCACCATTATGCTTGCTTTTAGCGCTCACAGGTCCCTCAGCCCTCCCAATAGCACCCTTCTTATCCTCCTTTCAGACCTCATCCAAAACTGTCTGACGTCAATCTCACCGTTTCCGGGTTTTGACACCGTTTCGAAGTTGCTTTGGGATTCCATATATAATAGGAGATATTATAAACCTAATACCAGGTCCTTTTTATAGTCATACTTGCAATCCTGACAATGCCAGTACAGCTCAAACTTGGTCAGAAAAGACATACCACAGGGACAATCATAGCTGCTCATACATTTCGTCTTTTTCATCTTCAGATGCTTCTTTAGATCGGATTCTTTCTTAAAACTTCTGTTACATTCTTCACACCTCATATATATACATGAGATCTCAAGCCCCACACCTGGGCCTTCACATATAGACTGGGATGGGAGTTGCGCTGTTGTCGCACGGGTATTACCCGCACGCGGACTTTAGACGGGGATTACTCGGATCAGAGTTGCGCTGATACCCCCATCCCCTATACTACTATATATCTATATATCTATATATCTATATATCTATATATATATCAATGCAAAAATGTTGGAAAACGCGTTGCGCTTACAGGATACGATTAGACAGACCCCCAAAATCGCTTTCATTTCGCGCTGTCTTCGGCTCGAGATCAGGCGGACCGATTTTTCGATTTTTCTCGGCGAAAACTTTTTCCCAAAAAAAAAAAAAAATCCACAACGTTTACCGGGTAGTCACTAATACATTAGTCTGGATCATAAATAAATAAAATCGATTTTTTAATTATTTTTCACTTTAGGTGAAATTATTATCACCATATTGTCTTTAAAATATTTCCAACAAGGGATACTTACCTTAGAAGTTTGTTCATCAGACGTTCTTCAGTAAGAAACGCTTAATTAGATTTTCGCTCTGATTCGAAGACTAATAGTAAGTCTGTCACGGTARTCGCCTTCCCAATAAATTAGTCTGATGTTCTGAGAAATGTCAATTCACGTGACCCGTGACGTGCAAATGAGTTTCCTTAACTGCTTTATTTCCGGCCACTTTTTCGGGCTTCCTGTGGTATGCCCTTGTGGACCGGCGAAAACGATACGAAAATTCAAGTGTGTCAGCGCAGCTTTCGATGTGTTTTTTTTTGGTGCGACGTAAACGAAGTGTGCTCAAAAACGCAATACTGTGGCACTATTAGCTCTGTCAACAAGGTTTTATTCAACACCTTGTTCGATATCCAAATCTGCATATGTTCCTCGGCTCATTTGTAGGCCTCGGCTAACGACTTATTTAGTTGTCCTCTCTGGGACTTTGAAGACGACTGATAAACAGAGGTTGGTCATTAATTGACGTGTAAAGTTTGGTAATGAACAGTATGTTTCAATCGCCATACATCAATGTGCCTATACGTTTAGACAAGTCCTCGGTGCTACATTTTGATTTGTCGGAAAAAGCACTCTATTCTGCTTGTTTGTTCTTATCTCAGGCTATCCAATCAGATCCCGGATATTTTTATCGTAGCTCAACAAACAAATTCTCAGTTACAGAGTCTTTCATCTAGGAAGAGCATTGTCATAGAGAGTGGATCCTTAACACTTTGCTCAAGCCAAGATGAAACTTATATTCACGGTTTATCTTTTGATATTGACTGCCCTGTACCTAGAAGTTGATGCGCAGTCCTTGGTAAGTTCTAGGATCGCATTGATGTTATAAGTCCTTATCAAACTCGTGAGGGCCTTAGTTCCAATTCATAGGCTGTTTGTATATGAGTGGGAAACGTGCGGTACTGACTTACAGCACGTACACGGTACTATATGCCGTTACATCGAAATGGCTTTCCATCTATAAGAAATCCGGTACGGATTTGAAAATGGCGTAACACTGAAATGGCTCCCAAGAGAAAGGTTATCGTATGAGTGAGAAACGCACAATACAGACTCACAGCACGTACACGGTACGACATGCCATAACATTGAAATAAGGAAATAACCTCCTATATAAGAATGGTTATCGTATGAATCGACGGTATCGACTTACAGCACGTACATGTACAACATTTAAAATTGGAATGGCTCCCGATTGCCTTCCAGTAAGTCATCCAATCACAACGCGTTGTTATAGGCTACGGTAAAATGGTACGGTTACAGAACAGCTGCAAATGTGCCATATCGTTTCCCACTCATACGAAAACCGCTCTTTGACTTTTAATCAGATGAGATGATGAGATATTTCATCTCGATACTAATTCTCTCAATTGTATGATACCAGAGTCCGTTTTCTAAGATTCGCCCAACTTGTAACCAGTATTTTGTTCCGTTCGTATCAGACATGCCTCGACCAGTTACATTTGAAAGATATAAAATAACTTTAATATGATCACTCCATGACATAGAATTAACACCTCTGACCTTTCTTCGGCTACTTATTGGCTCCGACTCAAACAGAAGCCAAATGCAATATCTTAAACTTTGTAACTCTTGTTTCACACCCACAGCAGAAACCTACCCCCCCCCCCTCTCCCATCTTCAATGCATTCTTTTCTCTTGAAAAAGATATGACAATTTGGTTGTTAGTTAGAGACAAAAGTCACCCATATGACCCATATGATACACGTGCTCGATATATCGATAACCTTGCATATCATTGGCTGAGCTGCTTATGTATGCTATGTCATACCGATATCGATAACTTTGCATGTCATTAGCTTTGCTGCATGTATAGTCTGCCGTCTTATACCGTTACTGACAACGTTGCATGTCGAGATCATGAATAGTAGAGGTTGTTGCAGCCTGTTATTCGAAAGGCATTGATTTCAGTCAAATTAACTGAATTATTCTATATCTGTCGAGACTTGTCCACAAGGTCCTCAAGGCAACCCTGGTAACAACGGTGTTCCTGGTAACAATGGAATGCCAGGATCACCAGGCCGCGACGGACGGGATGCTAAGGGAGAACCTGGACTCAAAGGTGACCGCGGAAAAGCTGGGCCCAAGGGCAAACGCGGAGAAGCTGGGCCGAAAGGTGACCGAGGAGAATCTGGGCCTAAAGGTTCTTGTCCAGGCGTCAACTGGAAACAATGTGTTTGGAAGCGAGACGATGATAAAGATATTGGTCTAATACAGGTAAATTCAAGTATTTTTTCAATCTTATTTTTCTGTTCCCATCAACAACCAATGTACATGTGTAATTAGGCGTTGATATTGACCTTTTTGAGGCTACGCGGAAAACTGGTAACGAGTAGAACGCGCGATGAATCGAGGGGCTGTCTTAAAAGACCACATTTTTTAGTGCATCTCTGATATCTGCTATCAAATTAAATGTGACTCTATTCAAAACGTTAAATCTGTAAAACAAAAAAAAAAATGGCGTCCCTAAAACAGATCCATGATGCAGCGCGCGTCATACTTGTTACCAGTTTTCCGCGCAACCACGGAAAAGCCAATATCAAGAGAAAACCAATCTTTGGAACATTCTATGTGTGTAATTCTACTTTTCATCATAGGAATGCATTTTCCACAAGAAGAACACCAACACATCTCTTCGTGTGTTTTTCGATGGAACTCTTCGAATTTACAGTTGTACTTCTTGTTGTAAGAGATGGTATTTCACATTCAATGGAGCAGAATGTAGCGGTCCTATGACCATCGAAGGCATCGTGTATACAGAAACCAGTAATAATATTCACCGCCACCGCCACATTGAGGGCTACTGCAACAACATCGCCGTCAAGGGCAAAGTACGAGTTGGATTCTGGGTTGGTAATTGTGCTAATTTTGGAAACGCCGATGCCTACACAGGATGGCAAGCAGTCTCACGTATAGTTATCGAGGAAACATCCCCAGAACAGATATAAATTAAAGCTGGATGATGCATGCATGCAAAGAATGCATAGGATTGTAGGAATATTTAGGAGATGTGATCAAGTAAGAMATAAAAGGGTCTCAAGTAATTAAATGCACTCTCTATAAAAAACAAAATTCTGAAAACGTCCCCACAGACATCTGTATCATTACCTAGCACGAAATAATCAACCTAATAAAATTCTAATATTCAATCAAATTAACTTATATGATTTTGCTTCGTCTGGCTAAAATAGCGAGGTAAATATAATCTTATTCTCTTGGCATGAAAAAGAGCTGATGAAAGGGATAACAACATTTAATCTGAAGTAGCTCGGCTACCTCGTCCCCATTTTACTAAAATATCAAACGGAAAGAAACTACTTAAAAAACAGCCTTACTTTATTTCCTCGTAAGAAGCGACACGAGTAAAAAAACCGTGTGCGCATGCTCTAAATGCGTATGCAAATTTGTCGAAACGTCTTCCTGGTATCGTAATATGTAAACGTGACTTTCATGCCTTCACAAAATGCATAAACTCAGTCAATGCTTATTTTTTGTTGCAAAATTTCGGACTAGAATCACTAGTTATGAATAATAGAATAAAAATCATAGGATAAAAGCTGCAAATTCGGCGTTAAAAACCGTCTACGATCCGTACGATCCAGCCAACCGAAGACCATTCCATTCCATCTACGGACGGTTCCGGATTTTCCAAAATTAAAAAACACTTAAAATTCGGGCATTTAAAATAGGAAAACAAGTTTTAGAATTTGAGCATATTTTGACTATACATAAAGATTATCCATGGCCATTCAAAAGGCGAAAATCAAAAAAAAATTTTTTTTWWAAATTGTGTATCAAGATCTAGTCGTTGACTGAGGCCCAATCACTTGCAATGCCTTTTAGTCAAAACCAAATCCATTCCAGTCCGACATCCAAGTAACATCCAATTTATCTCAATAGCACCTTAATCGAGAAAAATTAGTCGTAAAAAGCTGTAACGATCCACAGAGTCACCTATAGACACATGATGTATGCAGCCCTTTGAAAAACCTTTGCTGCCCACCGGCTTCACAACTCTTCAACCATTGCCGCGATCAAAAATTTTTTTTTTGTTTGGCGGGCCACGATACAAGAATAAGAGCTTTATGATGAGTATTATCTTGCATTCCTATGAAATGTTTTTCAATAAGAATTCATAAAGTTTAATATTCTCCTCTAAACATAAATCTGGATTCTCAATTTTACTGAACTTGATGCGTTTTTCAGTTTCGTGATCCTTCAAGTTGGATGCGCACRCAATCTTGAAGAAAACAATCTATAGGGTTTGGAGAGATTGGAAATCTTTCGTGTTGCTCTCCAATTTGAGTTCCCTGCTAGCAGAGCCTATTTTCCTTTCGTTTGGTGGAGTGAGAAAAATAGACTCTGCCGATGTAGGACGTTATACTTGTTTCGCCTTCGTGGCGTAACTTAGCAACGCTGTCATGATTTTGACAGCCGCTCTCGTCAAACAAAAGTGGATCATTAAGTGCTTTATGTCTTTATTTTCTTTCAGTTTTTATAGAATGACATTTTACAGAAAGTAGATGTTACCTTTAAAACCATTATATACCCTTCTCTTTAGATATTGCATTAATTTTTATTCTTATCTTTTACTCTTTAACCAAGGTGGGGACCCATGTACTTTATTTAAAACGCTTGGCACGGTCGTGCTCCAGCACACGGCTGCGAAGCACCCTCTCGACTTGCTTTTGTTGTTCGGTTGCATCGTTGAATTTTGAAACGATTGCTGCAAGGAAAATAAAAAACATATATATTGTACTATACGAAGCATGGGCAGAGGGAATTAAAAAACAAACATGTGTTAGCATTAGAATGAAGCGTCTGAATGGCTAGGGGCAGCATAGTGTTTTTTGTTTTATATATATATGTATGTGTGT